TGTCTGTAACTCCAGTTGCAGGAGATCCAGTGCCTTCCTCTTCTGGCTTCCTTGGACACCACACACACACACACACACACACACACACACATACACGCACACACACACACGGTGTACATAGATACATACAGGCAAAACACATAAAATAAATCTTAAAAAGAGTTCTGGTGACTAGGATATAACCTAGCTTTTAAATGAATCTGATCACTTTTCTCACAGAATATCTCAGCATTTCTTTAAAGCCACTGACAAGTGAGGACCCGTTTTTTGCAAAAGGAATCTTGAAATAGGGCCAGGAATTGAAATAAGACCAGGCATTGAAGTAGGGCCAGGTGTAGTGGCCTTTAAACCCTAGACTCAAGAGGCAGAGGCAGGTGAACCTCTTAGTCCTAGGCTACCCTGGTCTACATAGTGAGTTTTAGGCCAGCAAGGGCTATATATTGAGACCCTGCCACCCCCAAATATATACACAAAGAAAGAAAAGAAAATTGAAGTAGCAGCTTAAATATATTGCCTCAAATCTCCCAGTATAATGTTTTTCATATTTATGATATTTCCAAAACAATATGACTTAAAATAAAACAAGCATATTCACATGTCAGATTACAAATTTATATAATCCCTTAGTTACAGACACAGTTCCAGAAGGAGGTGGAAGGCATCCAAAAAACACTATTGTAATTTTATAAAACAAGAAATAGAGAAAGAACTGGGAAACTATCCAAGAGGCTTCTAGACAATAATAGCCTTCCCTAATTGGAGTGAATTCAATATGAGAGTAATTAGTAGAGTTATTGATATCCTCTGAGATACAAAACAAAGTAAGAAACAGTTTATACCTTGGCTTCATCAGTGGCAAAGAAACTGTTTGCCTGCTACTGTTTTGTTGTAATTTAGTATCAATAAATAACTAGAATAAATGTCTGGACAGGCTGTATAAGTGGTTCCTTAGCTTTTTTTTTTTTCCTCCCCTTTGATAGGGTCTCCCTTGTCCCAGCCTGCCAGGAAGTCACTATGTGGACCGGGCTGGCCTTGATCTGGCTTCTACCTCCCAAGGGCTGAGATTAAAGGAACACACCACCATACCCATCCCTTAGCTTCTTTTAATAAGGAACTAGTGAGTTGATTATCTAAGACATTTCACATGTTCTGAAAAATTTATTCAGATCGTTAATATAAGTATAAATCTTTTTAAATATGTTATTTATTATTTTTATTTTATGTGTTGTATGAGTGTATTGCCTGCATGTGTGTAAGTACACCCGTGTTATGCAGTGCCCCTAGAGGTCGGAGGAGGGTGTCAGTTTCCCCTGGAACTGGAGTTATGGGTGGTTTTTAGTTATCATGTGGGTGCTGGGAATTGAACCTAGGTCCCCTGCAAGAGCAATTAGTGCTCTTAACTGCTCAGTCATCTCTCTAACCACATATAAATTATTTTTAACATTAAAACTAATCCCTGTTTAATGCAATCCCTGACCAACTGCCTTGCTCATTCTGGCTGGTATAATAGAGTACCATAGACTCAGTAGCATATAATGACATGAATATATTTCTCACAGTTTGAAAGGTTGGGTAATCTGAGATCAAGGTGCCAGGAGATTTGGTGATGGTGAGGGCTCATAGATGGTTCTTTCTCGTTGTCCCACAGCATGAAGGAGAAGGCAACCTCCGAGATTTCTTTCATTAGAGCATAGTCTTATATATGAGAACTCTGCCTTTCACTCATGCCATTCACCTCCCAGCCTCACCTCCTAACACTACCACATTGGTAGTTCCATTTCAGTATATGAATTTTAGGGAGTAAAAAATACTCAGACTGTAGCGCTTTTTTTTTTTTTTTTTTTTTTTTTTGGTCTTTTTGAGACAGAGTCTCCCTGTAGCCCCAGCTGGCCTGAACTCTGTATGTAGACTAGGCTGGCCTTGAACTCACAGAGATCTGCCTGCCTTTGCCTCCTGAGGACTGGGATTAAAGGCATGCGCCATCACATCTGGCAGCATCAGCATTTTTTAAAAACTACCATTGTAGGCTAGTCAAGTATTATTAGGTTGTTGAATATATTTTGCCTTTTATATACCAGAAATAGAGGATCTTAAACATCTTTAGTACGCTCTAAAGATAACACTGACTGTGTCATATTTTCAAGTAAACTCTAAGAAATGACTTTTGGGTCAAACCCCCATTGGAAACTAGTGCATAACTCTTTTATGTTGTGGCTGTGATCCCAATAAATCTAACTACCACAAAAAAGTCTCTCTTCCATACCTGTCTTATACTTTTATCAGATAATGTCATATTAAATTTGTCAAAATCAGTCTTTAATTAATTTAGAATTATGGATCCTATAAAAGGAAATTATAAAGCTGCACTATCTAATATGGTTAGTCATTGCCTACATGTGACTATTTAGTGGAAATTTAATGAAAAATAACACTTAAAATTCAGTTCCTCAATTGTACTATCCATGCTTAAAATGAGCAGTAGCCATATAAAGGTAGAATATACCCTACTGACAACACAGAATAATGGAGAAAGTTTTGACAGCACTGTAAAGAGTACTGGTATATAAAGCACTTTGGTTGGTGATGGCTTACATATTAATATTAAAATGCTCATAGTGGTAGTGTCTCAAGAGGAACAGCAGCTAGATTCTTTATAAATAAGATGTACAATTTCATTTCATTGTGCCAAAAAAAAAAATTCAACTGTGGTGACTTAATTTGTTTATGCTGTATTGGCTACTCTACCCTGCTACGTATTTTGATGATTAGCATCTTTTTTTCACTTCTATCTAAGGACATCTGTCTGCTGATTTGGACAATATATAGCCATTTTTATATGTTATTATACTGAAATAAAATCTTTGAGTTCTATACCCCCGAACTTTGAACTTTATGTACAAAATTTTCTTTGTTCTTTTGAAAATTTAGTTGCCTGTTCCTTAGCAAAAAATGAAAAATGACTTTTTTTTCCAAAAAGAAACTGTGTGTGCTTGCGTGCTTGCGTGTGTGTGTGTGCATGCATGCGTGTGTGCGTGTGTGTGTGTCTATTGTCTCTACGTGTGTTCAGATATATATGAAGGCAAGAGATCCACATTGGGTGTCTTCCTCAGTCGCTTGCTTTGTTTGTTTGTTTGTGACAGGGTCTTACTGTATAGCCATGACTGTCCTGGACTTGGTGTGTAAAGCTGTCTGGCCTCAAACTCACAGAGATCTCCCTGCCTCTGCCTCATTAATGCTAGTATTAAAGGGAGGCAGCACCATGCTGGCACTCCACTTTATTTTTTTTAAACAGATTCACATGCTGAGCCTAGAACTCACCGATTCAGCTAGACTGGCTGCCCAGCAAGCCCCAGGAATCCTCTTGTCTTGGTCTCTCCAGCCCTGGGATCATAGGTGTACACAATGCCCAGGCTTTTACATGCATGCTAAAGATCTAACTCATCCTCATGTTTGTACAGCAAGCTCTTTACCAACTGAGCCATCTCCCCAGTTCCTAGAAACAGACCCTTTTGATAACTCTTCTATAATGCCTGCATTTCAGCCTAGGCTAGGGAGGGTTTGGGATGAACCTGGAACGTGTGCCAGAAAATAAATGCAGGGTGAAAAAAAAAAAAAAAAAAACGAGAGCATAGTCAATAGCCTAAAGAAGTTCTCACTGACCAAATCTGGGGAAACTGCACCATCAATGAACTCGTTGAAAAGTAGGACCTATGAGTTTATACTGGTGATAGATAGGTGGATAGATGGACCAATAGTTAGATGGGTGGAAAAAAAAGGAAGTACAATGCTAGCTGAATAATGTGGATAGAGCTGGACATGGTGGCACATGCCTTTAATCCTAGCACTTGGGAGGCAGAGGCAGGCGGATCTCTCTGAGTTCAAGGTCAGCTTGGTCTGCATAGCAGGACCTATGAGTTTATACTGGTGATAGATAGGTGGATAGATGGACCAATAGTTAGATGGGTGGAAAAAAAAGGAAGTACAATGCTAGCTGAATAATGTGGATAGAGCTGGACATGGTGGCACATGCCTTTAATCCTAGCACTTGGGAGGCAGAGGCAGGCGGATCTCTCTGAGTTCAAGGTCAGCTTGGTCTGCATAGCGAGTTTCAGGCCAACTGGGGCTACAGGGAGACATAATAGCAGCATAGAACATTGAAGTTAGAAAAATCACCATATTGCAACTATTATGGTTGGTTTGGGCAAGAATTATCAGTGGATGTTCAATATGGGGTGACATTTTGACAGGGAGAAGGATGTTGGCATACTCTCTTTTCCTACATATTGGTGCATATAGTGACAGGATGTAAACAATAACTGAAATGAAAGAGGTAACTAAAATGTAAGGGGTAGAGGATCTTTGGAAGTCATTGTTCTCTGAATGCCCTGGGAAGCATTAAATATTATTTATACCATGTTCAGATGTACATAAAATGTATGACCTGAATTCAGTCATGAGGAAATATCAGACAAAACCAGAGTGAAGATCATTCTATTTTAAAAGTAACCTGTTTTCTTTTAAATGTCAGTATCATAAAAAGAAGAGGGTTGGGGTAAGATTAAATATCTATTCTAGGTTAAAGAAACATGAAAACTGAATGAAAATGTGATCTAGGACTGTATCTAGAGTAGAAGTGAAAAAAATATAAAAGATAACTTTGATAATTGTCACAATTGAAATATGGGTGGTAGACTACATTAAATGTGTTGATATGAAATTTAGCAGTTAACACTTTGATTATATTAGAGAATAGTCTTGTTCTTAGGAAATACACAGAAATACACAATGAGGAATTGAAGAGTAAAGAGGCAGGTATCTACAACCTATTATCAAAGGACCCAAGGAAGTAATTGTGTGTGGAGAAAGACTATGATAACAACATGTAACATAACATTAGCGGTTGGTGAACTTGAGTAAAGACTGTATAGTAGTTCTCTACTTAAATCTTGAAGCTTTTCTGTTTCTTTGAAGCTATTTCAATATAAATTGTTTATTTTTAGCCCTTTTTAAGGCACAAAATGATGTGATGACTATGAAGATTCAGTCCGAGAGACTTTCAAAAGAATATGATCGACTCCTGAAAGAACACTTGGAACTTCAGGTGGGTCACGTGCATTTTATGTACATAAAGTGTTCTGAAATAATAATTATTTAAATAAACTCTTTGGATTACCTGTCCTAACAAATTCAGATGGTGTACTTAATCCTGAATTTGTTAAATAACTAAAGAAGCCAAATTTACCTAAAGATGAAGTTTAGGCCATTATAGCCAAATACAAGATAGCTAATTCTTTAGAATTGCTGACAGACTGACTTAACATTATACTTTTATGAAGTTTTAAGGAAAAGAATTGAGGTATAAAAAATGGCAGCATCAAAAAATTGGTTCCAGAAAAATTTGTGTTTTACCATCTGGAATGCTTGCCATATTCATGCCAAAGTGAGGCCACAAGTTGAAGTTCCAGGGCCTGGAGAGATGGCTTATCAATAAGAGCACTAGCTGCTCTTACAGAGGACCAGAGTTCAGTTCCCAGCACCCCATGGTATCTAACAGCCATCTGTAACTCCAGTTCCAGGGGATCTGATGCCCTCTTCTGACCTCCACAGGCATTGCAGGACACAAGTACACTTCCATGCAGGCAATATCCTCTCATAAAATAATTAAAATAATATATTGTTTAAGTTGAAGTTCCACATGAAACTACTTCTGTCTGTATTATGGAGATCTTAGGACAAAAGATTATGTCATTCAAATACCTGATTTACCTCCAAATTTGATTTGAAAGATGTAAATGGAAAAAGAAAATTGTTGTTAAAACCATGGACTTTCTTTCTCTGCTTCTAATTCAGCAAGAGTAAGGTCCAAACATTGATCATACTGAGTTTGTCTGTCTTCTCTTCAATTGCCAGCCACAAATCAGAATATATTTCCCAGCCAATTTATTTTTTTCTTACTCTTTTTTTCGGGGGTAGGAGGAATTGGGGCGGGTAGTGCCAGAATCAAACCCAAGACCTCATGCATGATAGGCAAGCACTCTAGCCCTGAGTTTAAACCCCAGCACCTCCCAGCCACTCTTTGGAGAAAACTATGGGAAAAACTTTGCAATGTTGCCTTGGCACATGGCAAAAAGCCACTATACTTGTAGTCTCTGGAATTGGACAGACTTGGAATACCTGAATCAGTACTCTAACTAGCTTTGTGATCCCAAGAGATTATATTATCCCTCTAGGACTCATTTCTTTATCTGTAAAAGCAGGACAATAATGATGCCTTGTTCACTAGATTGTTGAGAAAGCTAAATAAAATCCAAGTCTTTAGCACTGTTCTTGTCTGATAGAAATACAGATTACTGTGAGCCAAACATGGTGGCACATGCCTGTAATCCTAACACTTGGGAAGTTGAAGGAGAAGGATCATGAGTTCATAGCCAGTCTCAACTACATAGCAGGGTCCTGTCTCACAAAAAAAGAAAGAGGGAGAGGGAGGGAGGGAATTATCAGTGTCACTTCCTCTGTAGAATTTTTACTCAAAGACTTTTCTTACTCAGACACTCAGTCTTGAGTTACCCAATCAAGAAACAAACAAACAACAACAACAACAAAAAAAAAACCACATAAACTGGTATTCCCTGTTGGTGTCCTTGAGTCCCAGGACACCAGGAGCTCAGTTCACATGTTCTAGAGTAGATAGTTACTTTTATCAGACTACCCCTTCTCATCTGTCAAGATGCTGAAATTGCCGACCTCCTCAGTTCATGACATCCTCAGTATCTAGCATACTGAATCTAGAATAGGAAGTCATTTCTTTCTGAGTCCTCTTGTCTAAGATTTTTTTTCCAAAATCACTAACTAGAAAGTGAGCATGTTTAGAAGCTGGGAATCAAAGTCTCCACAACCTCATTAACCAGGTTCCTAAGCCTGAGCTGATCACCAGGCTATGTGTTATTGGATCCATTCTCTTCCTACCACTTCTCTGTTCCATGTCTCAGAAACATAAATCTCCAGACTCATTTCTTTCTGACTCCTGGGCAAGTTTAGCTAGTGAGAGGCATTAGAAGAAAACTGAAAACAGGAGCAAAGGAAAAAGTAGGGACTTTTACTTTCTGCTTTAGTCAACTCCTTCATTGCTCCAGTTCCTTCCTTCCACAGTCATAGTTCCCATAGGCAGCTTCCATTCACTGGTGCTTAGCCCACCCATATCCCTGCTTACCACTCCAGCCCAAGGAGAAGTGGTGGTTTTCTGCTGTTGCTAATGCTTGAGCCAATCCTTACCACACTTTTTTGTGTTTACTGTCTCAACACCTATAAAACCAACTTCCTGAAGTATCCGTTTGAAAAGCTTTGAAAAGCTCCTGTAACCTGAATCATTCAGGCACTTTGACTACTTCATTTCTTAAAACAGATACGATACTTTAAAGGTTTTTTTTTAATTAAAAAAAAACAGATAACAATACTGTAATAAATACCAAACCAGATCTTGTTTTAAGAAAGAACATTAGTGGCTGGAGAGATAGCACAGCAGTTAAGAGTACTTGCTGCTCTTCCAGAGGATATGAGGTCAGTTTCCAGCACCCATGTCAGACAGCTCACAACTGCCTATAACTCTTAACTCCAGGGGATCCAATACTCTCATCTGGCCTCTGCAAGTACCCCACACATGTGGCATACACTTACACAGAAAACACATAAACACATTTAAAAATTTTTAAAAAGGGACTAGGGAGATGGCTCAGCAGTTAAGACCACTGATTGTATAGCCATGAGATGCTTAGTGGATTGTTAGATGCTTTTCTGTCCACCTACCTAGTCCTGTTGTCCCCAGTATGAACATCTGTATAAGATTCTGAAATTTAAATGCCATTTAATAAAACCATCTTCTTACAGATGACTCTTTGATGTTCATATTCTGAAAAAGCGAAAGGTTACTAGAGACCATTTTATAGTATAAAGGTGAATTCAGTTTGTCTTCATGAATTTTACTTCTACTGTTGAATCAATCTTAGTAATTTAATTATATCCCAAGGTTATTTGGGAAACAGTGACTCAGTTTTACATAATTGAGATAGTTTAATAATAGTTTTACATAATTGAGATAGTTTAAATGAAACAAGTATGAATACTAGATAAAATATTAAAGAAACAAAAGTAAAGGGGAAACTGGTTTCTTTTCCGTAATCAAATCTTATTTTTCAACTTTTAAATCCATTTGGATTTCCTCATCTGGGTCTCCTCCCTGTTACAGGCACTAAACAAATATTAGAAAACAGTCTCTTCAAAACATGTAGTCTTTGCCTTTTCTTATTTGCCTTGGCTGTCTTCTAGAAAAAAAGGACTGACTAGGTATTACTGGTAGCACAAACCCATCAGTACTTGATAATTTTAAATTTCATTTTGGAAAATCACTCTTCACATAAAAAACTTGTCCTTATAATAACTCTATTAAACCTTTGATTATATAAGTGTAAAAAGTGATATGTTACCATTCAGAATGCCTCCTCTCATCTTATTTGACTGCTTAATGTTAAGTTCTTAGGAGAACATTAATTCTCAGCCTTGACACGAGTTCAGTGGACTTTCTTTTGTTTTGGGTTTTTTTTTTTTTTTTTTTTTTTTTTGGTCTTTTTAAGATAGGGTCTCCTTGTAGCTCCAGCTGGCCTAGAACTCACTATGTAGGTAGACCAGATTGGCCTTGACCTCACAGAGATCCACCTGCCTCTGCCTCCCAAGTGATGGGATTAAAGGCATGCACCAGGGGACCCAGGCAAGAGTTCAGTGGACTATGTATGAGCAGTAACGATCTGCTATTCCCTTCTGTGAGATTTCTTTCCTAATCCTAACATTTACTTTCTTTTTATGAATGAACTTCATACAGTATATTATTATGCTTATATCCCCTCCTGTATCTGAACTCCCCCCCAATCTAACTCTCCCATCAAATTTCTATACTCAGAGAGAGAGAGACAGAGACCCCTATAGAGTCAGGTCCTTGTCCCTAAATGCCTTTCCGTGTGGGTTCATCCACTGGAGTCTGGTCAACCTACTAAGATTCATCCTTAAATGAGACTGAATCTCCCGTTCCCAAAAGTCATCAGTTGCCGGCAGTTTCACAGATAGGGTTGGGGTTTCTCAGCCAAGTGTTCCAGACAACTAGTCAGTTACTTGTGAACTCATAGCAATGCTGGCAGCATGAACGAGTCTCATGTAAGTTCAAGCCAGACAAAATCCCAACATAGACTTGGGGAAGTTGGTAACATTTACTTTAATTTAAATGATCTCTTAAGATTAATTCCTGTTCCATTTCCCTTCAGTTTCAAAGAATGTATTGTCATAGTCATCTTTATACCATGATTAGAAAAATATAATGGAGAAGCCAGTTCTAATGTGAGAAGGACTAGAGGGAGTGACTGGGGTCGGGGAGAAGAAGGAGAAAGCTATAGAGAAAGAGGGGAGGAGAGAGAAGGAGCAGAGAAAAGAGAAGCAAAACCAAGCAGCCAGGCCACACCACCTGAGTTGCTGTTGTTGTTGTTGTTGTTGTTGTTGTTTTCTTTCTTTCATTCTTTGCTTGCCAAAAATCTTAATTAGGGCTATAGTAGGGAAATTTTTAAAATTCTGTTTCCTACAGGTAACTGTGAAACAAAAAAAGCAAAGCAGATATTAAGGCATGGAAAAAGTGAACTTATCAAGATTTTCCCTTTTCCCCTCTGAATATTTTTTGAAGCAGAACTCAAATTTTATAGTGTTTTAAATTTCAGACTTTCTCAATCCATATTTTCATATTTGAATAATTAGTAACTAGACAGAGAAGAAAGCTTATAAGTCCTTGTATCTACTAATCTGTTTCTTAATGTGCTATATTATATCTTTTTCTCTTACAGAATCATTTAGAAAAAGACAATAAGAAAGGTCTGTGAACATTACAAAAGAAGATTGTGATATACCGTGTCAAGATAATAAATTTGTTATCATGATAGCAACTAAAAAGTTTAAAATTCAGTTCAAAAAATGTTCTATTAGCAACCAGTTATTTTTTCATGACACATATAGCCTATATAGTAGTGACATTATGAAAATATTTGATGTTTTAGATATAAAGTGTGTATTTCAACTCTTCAAAAAAATATAAGCATGTTAAATGCCTACTTACATATTGCTAATAACATTGGTATATGGTAGCTGTTTACCCATAAAAGGAAAAATTCATTAGCCATTTACTTCCAAAATTAGATTTTATTTAAGTTGCATGAAACCACTAATAGCCTTGAAAGCTTTGATGAGTGTTCAGTAATCTGATCAGATGATGTTCGAAAATAGTACTCCATATCAGAAAATTTGTTCACAGGGAAATGAAATAAGTGTAAATGACCAGAACTAGCCACTGTATTTGTAGAGAAATGTTAAAAAGAGCAGTGAAAATAGTAGTCTTAGGGTTTTTTTTTTAAGCCTCAAAATTATATGGTTTACTCTACATAAGACAGCACTATTGATAACTATATTTTTGTTACTGTGCTTATGTACATCTTAGATTTTTTTTTATATTTTTTTTAGTAACACAGTAAGCTATCTTTTCCACCTCATCTAGTTATTACCAGGCTCTATGTCCACTTGCATAACTGTCATAACACTGAACTGAACTTATAATGTGGAATTCTACACTTAAAAAACTCATGTATGACATCCAAAAAGCAGTGTTTTTCCATGGTTGTGATAGTTATTAAACAAATATTACCTCAAACGTACATGCACTGGTGGTATACAGATTCTCTGAGATGTTTCTGTTTTCTGAAAGTTAAATACTGTTTTTCATTCAACTATTCATTTAGAGGTAATGACTGTATTAATGCGATTTAGGTTATTTCAATGTTTAAATATGAAAAGCCACTTTCCTTATAAAGATTCAAATATAAAAGAAAATGGAAATTAATAACAAATGTTGTTACTTCTTTAGTCTTTCATCTGTTGTTATTATAATTTAAACACCAACTTCATGTATTTTTTTTTCATTGTAAAGTGGATAAAATTAGCAAATATATAATTTTATTTAAGATAAAAGGAGTTAGTGCTAGAAAACAGACATGAAAGAGACATTTAACCAGGTTAAGATATGGGAGTTATGCCATGTGAGCTGACACCACCTTAAATAATAAGGAAAGGGAATGCTGAGTTAAGGGAGAACTGAGCAAATGACATCTCAGACTGTAGACTTAGAAATGGCAAAATGAGGGCTGGAGAGATGGCTCAGCGGTTAAGAACACTGGTTGTTCTTGCAGAAGACCCAGGTTCGAATCCCAGCACCCACAGGGCAGCTAACAACTATCTGTAACTCCAGTTCCAGGGGACCCAACAGCCTTTTCTGTCTTCCGCAGGCATTGCACGACATGGGTGCACTCACCTACATTCAGGCAGTGCACTCATACACATAAAATAAAAATAATAAATAAAATTTTAAAAAAATTAAGAAAAAATGGCAAAGTGAGAGTGCCATGAATGGAGATACTGAGTGTTTGGGATCTTGACCTGCTCTGCAGAAATAACTTCTAATGTCAGAATAAGGAGAAAACGCACAGCTTTCGAATTGGCAGAGCCAAGATCTTGTCCCAGCTTCATCACTTGTTTAGTCATGTGACCTTGAACAAGTTATTCAAATTTGCCAGGCCTCCATTTCCTCATTTCTAAAATGGAAGTAATAAAATTTAGAGAAGGGTTACTATATAAACTAATAAAATATGGTGATACTCAAAATTGTTCAGAATACATAGTAAGGATAAAGTCTGAAGAGTATTAAGGATTTGAAAGTTCCCCACCCGCCAAAAAAAAAAACTTTACACTTTATAATTAGAAGATCTTAGACCTGACCTCACCTCTCAGTTTTACAGATCTGTAATTGGACACCTTAAAAGTTTGAGCAATTTTCCCAAGGAAAATTAGAAAGAAATTAGATTCAGAGTTAGAAACTGAAAATTCAGGTATCCCAGTTCACTGGATTTAAAAAAAAAAAAAAAAGCCCGACAAAGGATATTACTCGTTTTCATTCACAAACTAGCTTGATTTCCTAAACCATAAACAATACATATATAGCCAGAGTTTGAATAGGGAGTTTGACTACAGAGTTAATATACTTAACCTTGTACCAAACTGTCTTACAGCTATGTTAGAGTTCTTCCTTTTACTTTACTTTCCAATGATAGTATTCAGAAAATCCTATACATAGCCCATGAGTTTTAGTATACTTTATATTAAATTATTTCTCATAATCAATAATGACTTTATATCTCAGGCTGTTATTTTTACTTTTTTCATCACAATCATGTAGGTTTGTCGGGCTTTCTACTTGTAATTTGCTTGAGGTTCTGGTCTCTGGAAAGCAGCAACATGATGAGCTAGAGCTGAACATTAGAACTTGGCAGGAGTCATCCTTGTTCTTGCCTTGTTCTATCTTGAACCCCAGCACTTGTCCTCCTGCTTTATGCCTTAGGGCCTAAGTTCTCATGGTTATTTATCCCAACATTTTGGGAACTAAAATCCCCTTCCAAGGGGAATTGTTTTAATCCATTGATTCTGAAAGTAATTCCTTCTGTACAAAATATGATCTGATTAAGGGTCTTGAGATGAAGTGATTATCCTAGGTACTGGGTTGGCCCTAAATGCAGTCAGAAGTATCATGCTAAGGAAAAAGAGGCACTGCTACCTGGAAGAGGAAACAGTGATATTACATGTAGTGGCTCACATCTTTAATCTCAATAGAAAAGGGGCTTAAACATGGGAACCACTACAAGTTCAAGGCCAGCCTAGGCTACATAGCTCACAGCCATACTGAGCTTCAGAATGAGACCTTGGAGGAAAAAGGAAAAAAGAGGGAAATAGCAATGTGGCCACAAAGGTAGGGATAGAAATGATACATATCCACAAGTGAAGAAATGCTAACAGCTCTAGAAACTACAGCAAGCAAGGAACAGATTCTCCCCAAAAGCATGGCTCTATGTAGACACCAGTGAAACTGAGAAAGGACTTCTGCCCTCCAGAAACATGAGGATAGATGTGATGAGCTGCCAAATTGGTTATGATCTGTTATAACTGCCACATAAAACTTGTGTGGGAACATATGGGACAAATCTGTAGAGACCTCCACCAAAATTCAAGTCGTGGAAAACAAATACCATTTAACAACATTTGCTCCTCCCATCAGCTGTGGGTAAGTCAAAGATTGCCTTATCCTCCTTCTCCTACCTTATTTTTATCCTTCACAAAATTCCCACTGCCACTGCCAAACTCCAAGTCACTATCATCTCTCACTTGGAGTACTTAAGACAACCTCTGTCTGGTCTCCCTGCACCTTCTCCTAACCCTTCTCATACATACACACTCAGGAGCCACCTAATTGTTTATTAAACAAAGAATTCTTTTTAATCATCATTTCCTGCTCAGAATTTTCCAATTATGTTCCATTGCACTTAAGGTCAAATCCCATAGACCAGTGAGATGGCTGTGGGTAAAGGCTCCTGCCACAAAAGCCTGGTGACCTGAGTTCAATCCTTGGAACCCATGTGAACCCAAAAGTTCTCCTCTGACCTCCACAAGCACACTGTGGCCCACATGCACCACTACCACTATCCCCACATCATGCACACACAATAATTTTTTTCAAAAACACCTAATCTCCAAATTCTCACCAGGCTTCCCCCCTATTTTCGAGCCTCCAGTCCTGCCAACTGACACCTCCATTCCAGTCTTAGAACAACCCACGTTCTTTCCCTTCAGGACTTCTACATATGTACAAATGTTGCACTCCAGTCCTATCTGGCTTTTTTATTTTCACATGATGCTTATTGTCTGATGATCATCACTGACTGGTTTTCCCAGTGACTAACACAGTTCCTGAGCATAGTAAATCGGTGGTATATAAGGAGAATGCCCCAAAGAAGTATTTGGCAAATACTTCTAGAGTTATTTTTGGTTGTCAAAATTAGGGTGCTACTGGTGAACAGAGACCAAAGACTGTTGACCCTTAGCAGTGCATAGGATAGCAGTAAAGACATTTCCCATTGCCATGGACATAGGCAGAAATAGGTAAGACTATTACAAGTTCTTTTCTTCTTCCTCTGTTCTGCTTCCTGAAACACATGCTGCTTTCTTAGATTATGAGAATGAGTCCTTGTAGAGTCCTTATAAAGATAAAAGGAAGCTGTGTCCCTGACAAGAGTGCCATATCTGCCCTATATCGCTGCTCAGTAAGTTGTTGAATAAATGAATGACACTAGATGTTTTTATGTTGTTTCTCCTAACATCTTAGACATCAGCAACAACAACAAAAAAAAACTTTCCACATGGCACAAAGCCATCAGCTTTTGTATCTTGTCCTTTGTTGGTTTTTTCATTGTTGTTGTTGTTGTTTTTTGTCTTTTTTGAGACAGGGTCTCCCTGTAGCCCCAGCTGTCCTGGAACTCACTGTGTAGAACAGACCAACCTTGAACTCAACAGAGATCCACCTGCCTCTGCCTCCTGAGTGCTGGGATTAAAGGCGCGCACCACCATGCCCAGCATATCTTGTCTTTTATATTAGGGTCTTGGTTAATAATATCCCCTAAAGTCTCTGCATATTCAGTGTTTTATATTTGACTTTCATACACGAGAAAACAGGATCCCCTCTTAGGGTTCTTAGTGTCATTCATAAAAGAGTATAAGAGTGGACTCAAAGAGAAGCTTTAGGATTTTACTAGAGTTTAAAAGAAAAATCCTCAGGACAGCTGCTTGCCTGTTCTGAGGAGGACACTGGAGGAGAGAAGGGAAAAAAGCCATAAAACCCTGAGAGCCAGTGTGAAGGTCAGACACATGGCAAACTAGCAGCTGCATGGCAAGGAGGGTGATTCAGAAGAGTAGAGAAACCCAATGTTGGGACAGCCCAAAGTGTTAGGAAAAGCATGCTTAGAAAGGAGACAGAAGAAAAGCAAAGGTTAAGTTTTTATGAATTCAGAAAAGTGGGCAGACTTTACAGAAAGCTACATGTCTGGGGCCCAATCCGTAAGTACTGCACTAGGGAGTGGGGATTCTGGACAGGAAACATTCACCGTCTTATTAATGCACTCTGAGCAAACAATGCGTTTGAAATTTCTACTTTTCCCCCTAACCCAGGTTTCTCCAAAGAGTCTAATGTTCTTCAGAAACCATTGTTCTCCTTGAAGCACCACCTGTGGTAAAATAGCTCTCTTCCAAGGGCTGCCAATTTCCAGGAGCACCACTTTTAAGCCAAGGGCTTCCTGGAATAACCCTCCAAAGAGGTCTACTTACTGAAAAATATGGGACACTTTTCATCCACTTAATTTTTTTCTCTTGAAACAAAAATCAGTATATAGAAAATATAGACATTTCACTTAAAAGTTATGATTATCAGTTTGGTTAATTAACTTGTAGACATACACAAATATTTTTAAAAAATGAGATCATGATATGTTTGATACATACTGCATTTCCATTCAGATTTTATTGGTATATTGGTATTTCAGAAACAGCCTGGCTCTGAAGTGTTTTCTTGGCCACTTAAACCTTACCTGAAACTTTTCCCCCTTCACCAGTGATTCAAAATAATTATATGTGTATATATAAGCATGTCTATATGTAATACTTATGTTTTAAATGTTTTAAATTCAAGAATGGTCATATATAGGTTTTCAGGTGGCCTAGAGAAGTTACATCTTGAGAAGTTTCCTGTGAAAATCGATAAAAAGCCAGGTGTAGTAGCACT